CTAGTGGGAATTGAACTTGTACTCAACCGCTTGGGGGTGCGACAACTTCACCACTTCACTAAGTCGCCACACCCTACCTTATAATAATATATTAAGTAATGCAGTGCAGAAATGTAAATAGAAAATAGCGATAAGGAAATAAGACTTCTTAAGCGTACTTTAATAAAGAAGACACATGTACAAATATCACACATGAAACATAACTACTATAAATCTGGAAGCAGATCTTCTGCCTTTAACCCTTGTCGAGCACGTGCTAAATCTAGAGAAACGTCGATTATTAATAACTATGTTTTTTGTCCATATATAATGTAGCATCATAAAACAATTCATACCTATATATCCTCATCTCTGATCAGATACAGCAGAAGGGACCTGTATTTGTTTTGCTTTCGGTTTGGGAGGATGAGTCTGGTAGTTCAAACCCTGAGCATTATTGAGATCTTGCTCAGAAACTATTGGTCTATTAGCACCTTTTTTAATTCCAGCCTTAATATAAGCTTTAGTAAAATCCTGTAAATGGTGGAAAAATGTATCATGTATGAAATAAACGACATTATGCCGAATCCCTCTAGTGACTGAAAAATTACCATGAAGTAATAAACGTGAGGCAAATGCTATAATTTGTCCTGGCCTAAGATGTATGACCATTTGGAGCTGAGGAAAATATAACTCTCCTCCTTCGTAATCCCTAGTGCAACAAAGATACATAAACTACAGTATTTGCCTCGTTATGCTCATCCCAATGATAGTCACTAGTGGTATTAAAATTAATAGCTATCATTGGGAAAACTTCAAAGGGCTTTGGCGCAAATGGACCCCATAACAGCCTGCTCAATTTTGTATATAAATTTCTATAATAGTCTCGGAGGAACCGGTTGACACAGTCCGATAATGCCTTGAGACCTTGAAGTAATTTGTTGACGCATTCATAGTGATTAATGTTATGCGTACTTGCAGTATTGGAGCTTGTAAAAGGGAGCAAGTTGTTTCTGGTATAAGCCCCAAAATGTTTGATAAAATTGGTCCAAAATTCGTCATTTCAATATGATGGATGCTCCAACGTATGGAAATAATAATTATTTACAGTATTGGTTGCAAGTATAATGGCATTGTAGTCATCAAGTTGCTCTAAGTGAACCAATGTTCGGCCACTTAGATTCGTAATGTACTCTGGTTCTGCTATATGTTTGAATTGGACCAATTCACTTATCGATTGGGGATTATGATATGCTGATATAATCAGATGTGCCTTTTTTCTTCGAGTATTAAAAGCGGTAGCTGTGTCAAAAAGATCTTGAAAATCCCTATCACTTTGGATATTATGAGCATACCAGAGTTTTTTCCATAACAACCTGAGGTGCTGTCATACGTGCTTTCTTTTTAATAGACTATCCTGTCTCTTTAAGCCTAGCTACTGGCCGAAAGCAACTCACAATCGCTTATTAGTGGTATTAGGCGATGATCCCTCAATGCCAACATCGTTCTCTCTAATAATGTCAATATAGATCAGAGAGAGAAAGTTTTACAGAATCTTGGGCAACTCAAAAGAGTTACTGTCAGAGGATTTTGCTTCTCTAATTAGAGCTTCAATTAGCAATTCTCTGGCCGATATGTCGTACTGAGTCTTATTTTTTTTGGTTGATACTCGATCTGAAGAGCAGAGAGAATACTTGTCCACTCCCTCTCCAAATAATAAATATTATCATTAGCAGATATGTTTCGGGTGGCAGATTGGATTCGATGCCGAGATGGATCGAAGACAATATCATCGATTAGCAAAGGGATATCAACATCCAACTCATAAAGCATCTCGGCTTGTTTCTGATCACGCCTAAGTTTTTTGTTTTTGCGTATACGGGCCTGTCTCGACAATTTGGTTTCAGTAGGCCGTGCATTCTGTATTATGATGTTCTCCCCTTTTCGCTTATTACAGTAGTTGATGCTTGCATTATGACTTTCAAAAAAAAGAAAATATATTATTAGTATGAATTCGATTTAATAGATTCTCGCACTAAAAAAAGAGAAGACTTATATCTTTTTTTTTGTATATGATTCAATCTATGGTAATTTGTAAGTTACTATACTTTGCACTGTAGTAATTTAACGCAACAATAATTAATTGCATGTCGCTATATTAGGTACTATAATGGATTGATACTATTTTAGCATCGTAATTAATTCAACACTACCCAGTTCTACAAATTTAGATAGGCAGAGGACCGTGAATAAACATATACCTATATAGATAAATTTAGATTGTAGAATGGGTTGGATTCAAGAAAAACCTGTAAACATATATGTGCATTATTTATATAAAGTGAATATTGTCAGCATTAGGGATGCTAACGGCTTAACCCGACTTGTATATTTATTATTTTAAAAACTGATTAATCAATAGAGTCGATTGAGTCATTAGCATCCCTAGACAGCACATACAAATTTAGAATAACGATAGCGGTAAAGGGTAGATCCTAATTTATTTTGACATTTCGACATTGCCTTGGTTTGATTTAGTCAATCAAAATGTAAAATTTCTGATGTTCAACTATCTACATTGTGCAGTTATCTAGAATTTAGTAAACATATGTTGCACTATTTTAAGGGTAGAGTATATGTCGATCATTTATCATATGATCTCAGTGGTACAACGGGATTTTATATATAAATTAAAATATGTTACTAGTAAAAGTTCTCAAAACCATGGTTAAATTTTACCAAAATTTTGTAACATACAAATC